GTTCTCCAGATTTCTTGGCACAACTTGGTGAGCACATCCAGGGCAACATCTGTTATCTGAAATACTTCAGTTGGTATACCATCTATTCCTGGGGCCTTATTTTTTGCTATTTCCTTCAAAGCAGCTTGAACTTCTTCCTTCATCGCTCTTGCTCATATGTTATTTCATTAAATTCTCCTGTATCTGCCAATTCCTTTCTATACAATGACTCAGTATATTCCTTCCACCTTCTTTTAATACTTCCTGGATCATTTGATATTCTGCCCAAAGTATCCTTGATTACAGCAACTCTAGGTTTGAATTTGTTCTTCAGTTCCTTGAGCTTAAGAAATGCTGAGTAGGCAATATATAAAATGTGGAGAAAAGATTGAAATTGTCAATAATTTTATTTTACTTGGATCCATAATCAATACTCATGGAAGCAGCAGTCAAGAAATCAAAAGATTTGTTGCATTGTGAAAATCTGATGTCAGGAACCTCTTCCAAATTGCTAAAGAGCAAAGATGTCAATGTAATGACTGAGGTATGTCTGAAACAAGCCATGGTATTTGCACTTGCTTTGTACACATATGAAAGTTGAAGAATGAGTAGGATGCTGAAGGAGAATCGCTGTCTTTGAACTATGATAATGATGAAGAGTTTTGAATGTAGTATGGACTGCTAAAAGAAAAATAATGCCATGGAGGAAGAGCAACCAGGGTACTTCTTAGAAGCAAGTAGAGTGAAGCTTTCTCACATACTTTAGACATGTTACCTGGAGGGGCCAGTACAGAGAAAAAGACATCACACTGGGAAAGGTGGAGGACTCAGTAAAGAGTGGAGGACCTCAACACAGTGGATTAACACAGTGACTGTAACAATGCACTGGAGCATGTTGGAGGTCATGAGGATTGGCAGGATGGAGCAGATTTCACATCTGTTGTTCATAGTGTTGCTGTGAATTCTAGTCTACTTGAGGGCACATCATAATAAGGTCAAAGTAGTCCTTCCTTTATTGAGAGAATGTAGGTGGGACAAGGAATAAACAACAACTGAACTATTTAATTAGTGGTAAGGCTGATTCACCTACTGGATCACTGGTTGCAGGCCTGCAACAAACTGGTCTTTGAATAGCAGTAATGTAAAATGCTTTTATTGTGATTTAAATTTGTATTTACATGATTATGAATGAGGTTGTGAAACCTTCATATATTTGTGCATTATTTGTGTTTCTCTTCAATTAGACACCTGTTCCTTTATTTGTCAAGTTTTCAGTTGAGTTGGTAATTTTACATATCTGAGTATTAATCCTTTGTCAATTATGTTTATTGCTTGGCTCTGAAAATTCACCGGAAAGTCAGCTATGAATTGGTTCCAACTTACCAGAAAACAACAGAATGTATTTTGCTAGTTTCGTGGTTATGGGTTATCTTTTTGCTTTCTTTAATCACCTTTTAGTAAACAGAAATTTTTAGTTAGCATTATTTAAGGCTGATTTATGAATTGTTCAGGGACTGATGTTGTTGTTGTTGTTGTTGTTATGTGCCGTTGAGTCCCTTGCGACTCATAGCAACCCTATGTACAACATCCCTAAACTCCACTCTGTCCTGTGCCAATCGCACTGTCTCTGACACTCCCATCCCGATTACCCCAGTCACTGAATCAATCCACCTCATAGAGGGCC